ATCTTAGGGTGACCGGGCTTTGCTCGGAGTGCATATAATTTTTAGAGTTTTTAAAAATCAAATAAAATATCAATGCTTGGGCATCAAATTATGGTCATTTACAGGGCATTTATGGCTAAAATAGTTGCAAGGCTATTGTAAGACAATTGAAAGACAGCAGGCAAATTAGTTTGAAAGATTTCGTTTATTCTGGCATAAACGTCGTACAAAAAAGGCTCACCCTTGCCAAATTTTATGATAAAAAGCTATTTTGTATATCATTTTACTCGCGCTAATCCAACAGTCCCATTAGCCGAACGAACACAGGACTGGCATGCCATTCGAGAAATCCGAGGCTCGAAACCTCGGGTAGCGTTTTTTGTTCTTTTTTATTTAATTTTTATTTTAATTTGATTCCCTTTTAAATTTATATTTTATTGTTTTAAAACGAAAAAAACATTTTTTTAATGTCAATTAATATTTAGAAACTATTGTATGTATTTTTTAATGTACGGTTTTTGTTATTGTTTTTATTAAATTTCGTTTAATTTTATTGTTTTAAAACGAAAAGCATTTTTAACCTAATTTAATTTTTAGAAACTTGTTTATTTTTATTTTTTTGTTTTATTTTTTTTATTTATATAATATTTATTGTTTTTTTTTATATTTATTTATATTTAATTTATTTTGTTTATTATTTATTTAGATTTTTTTCTAATTTTTAGATTTGATTGTTTTAAAAGGAAAATAATCGTTTTTTTGTGTGATTTAATATTTAAAAACTTATCTTATGTATTTTTTTAAATTAAATTTTTAGATTTAATTGTTTTAAGAACATATTTTTTATAAAGTTAATCTATTTTTTATAAATATATTTTTATTTGTTTGCTATTATTTTTCTTTTTTTTTAAATTTAGTTCTCTATTAGATTTTATATTTTGTTGTTAAAGAAAACATTTTATGAATAGCATTTAATTTTTAGAAACTTTTCTTACATCTTCTACATCTAAGAAAACAAATTTTAAAATTTGATGAATTTTTTTCTTTAAGTGTTCTATAAAATCTTAAGCTTAGGTTTACATGGTATTTGTTAGGGAATGAACTGTATTTTAATTAAAAAATCTTAAATAAATACGCATACTTCATTAAATGTTTATGTTTTATTCAAGCATTTATATACAGTGGTGGAAGATATAATAGAAACCTTTTACTTTGACCAGTTTTGGCTATATTACTTTGTTTATTCGATGTT